TGGTGGCCCCCGCACAGCCCTGCGGAGGATGGGGAAGAGAGAGGGCTTTGGTCCGTGTCAGACCCCAGTGGAGCTGTGCTGGGGCAGGCAAGGCCCCTCAACCCATCTCCCTGCTAGTTTCTCTGTAGGTAGTAATGCCCCCAAGGCTTTGCTGCCTGTAAACCACGGCTGATCTTGCTCCATTGGCAGGGTGACCTGGAGGACAAGGAGACAGCATCTGCCTGTGACAACCAACTGTCTGCTCAGAGCTGGAGGCGGTGGGGTGGTGTTACTCTTCCCTGGAGAGCTCTGTCACTCCCTGTTTGAAAGGCACAGTCATCCCACACGGGAACCAAGAGATAAACACCCTATTTGAGCAGCACAAGGACAGCCTCAAGGATAAAAAGTAAGCTTGGTTCTTCGGTAAAAAAGCCAGAAAAAGCAAAGCCAGAATGCAAACCAAGCCCAGTGGTTTAAACAGGACAAAGTCTGTGGTGATCTGCGGGGCCTGGCAGGGCAGAAGAAAGAGGGTGATGGAGATGAAAAGCAAATTGTTGCGCTCTGCTTTGCAAGGCAAGGGGCCAGGGAGAGCCCGAGGACCAGAAAAGGAAATAGTGAGTGCTGTTGGGGAGCACAGGGAGAGAGACAGATGTTTGAAAAACCTTCACTGGTCACTGGAAGGAAGGTTTAGGACCAGCTTCCCAGCTTGGAGCAGAGAGAAGTACCCACACAACTTGCTTGGGCAGAGACTGCTGAGTCTTCCTTCATCTCAAGGGCTGGTCACACAGACAGCTGTCAGGAATGGTATGCATATTGGGAAGCTCATTTAACCAGTGTTGGTGAAGCGCTCTGAGGACAGGAGATCTTCCTGAGATGCTGAGCAGTACTTTAACAGGCAATGGTTGGAGCCTCTCAGAAAGAGCTCTTTCAACCTGCAGTTCTGCCTCAGGTGTTTTTCCACCAGACAGATACTGCTGTCTGAAAGAGACAGGCTTCTGCTTTGAGTGTGCTGGAACAATGAAGGCAGGAATATTCATGTCTCATGAGCGATTTGCTTGGTCTAGCAGCCTGCCTGCGCATTCAGGGACACCATCACAGCATCTCGTAGACTGCAGAGCTGTTGCACTTGCTGCCTTATGATGGAAAATCAGTCTGTTGAAGTCTAAATCTTCAGCTGCTCCCAAGTATGTGCAACACTGGATATAAAACTGCACCAGTGCTCTGGTCTCCAGCCCCTCCATTTGGAGATAAACGTGCCAGGACTCCTAAATACTAGTGAACGGTCTACAGCATCTCTTTCCTTCAAACAAAACAGTGTTGGGTAACATGAGATTTGCAGGCACTGTGTTCGGTCAGTTCAAACATTTGGTAAGGCCACAGGACAGTCCAGGCCTGAGCTCTCCCTCCACCCAGCACCAGCCGAGAGCCTTCCTCTCCTGGCTTTCAGTGCTTTTTCAGTGTCCCCCTGCCTGGGGGCATCCTGGGTTTATGGGTGCTGATGGGGCAGTCCAGGTTCCTCACTGGGCTCAGCCTGATCACACTCACTTCATCTACCACATGGGCGGGTGTAGTTTTGCTTGGAAAGCAACTGAACAAGACATAACTATCTCCAGGGCTGTCTGAGGAGCTGTTGCTTCACTGCTCATGGCAAATCAGCCAGCCTGTATGGTGGGATGGGAAAAGTCCCACGGGCCCAGTAAAGGGCAGAGCACACCACAGAGAAATAGGATGCCGCTTGCCCAGCAGTTGTTGTCCCAGGCCACTGGCTCCGTGCCCCATCTGCGGTGAAGCGTGCAGGAAGGTGAAGTGCAGTCAGGCACAGGTGCTGGATATGCACATCTCCAAGGTGAGAGTGTCTAAGGACTTGGAGGAAGGACTGCCACCATCTGGGTGCTCGTTACGGTGCAAGCTGTTGCAGGGAAGAGCACAGAGTTGAAAGCTGGGGGCTTGCTTTGGTAAGGATGTAGTGACAGAGTTGAATTGTGACGGGACAGAGGAAGCCTAGTGGCACAAGGAGGTGCAGGGGATGGCAGTGGGATGACCTGCCTCTATGTCAGGAAGTGGAGATGAGACTCACTGCCACGGCTATAGAAGGAGCAGAAACCAAAGGCCACAGCCAGTGCAGTGGTGGCTTTACAGTGGTGTGCAACATCTATGGGTGACATGGGGACACTTGGGATTCCCCAGTGCTGCTAGAGGAGGGAGAGGAGGATGAGGTGGAGAGTCATGGCAGCCCTTTGCCATACTGTCCTGAGGGCTGGCTGAGCTACAGGGGCTTACAAAGAGTGACAGCACCTCTTTACCCCCAGCAGCTGGCCTGGGGAATGTGATGAGGTGCCACTAGGAGCTGACGCTGCTAGGCGTAGCTGCCTGTCTACAGCAGGAGGACCTGAATTTGAACATGTTTGATTTAAATTAACTCTAAAGGGAAAATCTGCACCTAAGGAGGTGCTGCCCAAGGAGGGAAGATGACTTCTAGTAATAGTAATGCAGCTGTTGACAATGAGGACTTGAGAGTCCACCAGGGTCCCTTGTCCCCTTCCCCAGACACCTTCCCCCAGCTCCTTCTGCACCCCTCAATATATGGCACAGGCCTGGAACATGACTCCCTATAACCCATATTTTAGATCAACCTGGAGCGTTTCCTTGAAGAGAAGCAAGAGGTTTTGGCATATTTCCTGGTTTTACCAGTTTTTTTCCCCACCTTTTCACATACATTCCTTCAAAACCCAGCAGTGCTATTGCTAAAGCCAAACCCTGTGGAGTGTAAGAAACATATCCATCCCCATCACTGCTCACAGCATTACTGTCTTCCCCCAGCCCCACTGCAAAGTCCCAGTGACAAAGCTGCAAGGAACAGGCAGCCAGCAACACATGCTTCACCTCGCACAGCTCATTTTCATTCAAGGACAGTGGTATGCAGAACTTTAATCTCGACCCTCTCTTTTTCAGGTCACCAGATCCTGTTTCTGACAGGGGCAGGCAGGACTGCATGGAGAGATGTGTAAGAACAGGATAAAAGCAGCACTCATTCCCCATCATCCCAGCTTCCAGGAGCACTTCTGCAACAGATCCAAACAACCCTGCTTCTTTGTTCTCTTTAAAAAAGCTCAGTTTAGACTGAGACCTAAGCTCAGCCCCTGCACCGATTAAACTCTGCTGCCAGGTTGGTGAGTGCCCCATTGTGCGGCCACATCACAACACACTTTGCTTGTTAGCAGCTAGGACCACTAGTTAGAAGCCAACAATAGCAGCCACAGTGGAAGGGGCTGGGAAGAGAGAAAAAAAGGGAAGCCACACAGGTGGCAGAAGACTTGCTCTAAGCTCATCATGCCTGTGATTTGGTTTCCTGGCTCTGACTCTGCTCCTGTCAGTCAGCCATACGCTGATCCCAGTCTTACATCATGATGGGGGTGGTGGAAGCTCCCACCAAGCATGGCTCAAGGAAACTTTCAGTTCATGGCAATTGCAGTTCAAGCAAAGGAGACCTCTTGCTCTACCAGACATCCAGGCTCCTGGGCTCAGCTGAGGGCAGCTGCCAGCTGAGGAGCCGAGCAGCTCAGGGTGGGGGAGAGGTAGTTTTGCAGCACAGACTCCAAATCCTGCAACAGGACAGTATGTCAAAAAGCAGGAACCTTTTGCTTTTAACTCATCTTTCAGGCTGGAGAGCAGCATGTGGAAAGCAAAGCTGTCCTGGCTATTATAACGAACAAATTCGAGGCAAGCCTGCCCTAGCACAACACTCCCCTTCTTCCCACATACATTTCCTCTTTATTTTTAGCTCTTCCAGCTGCATCCCAATATGCATCCCTGTATCAAAAATGCTCAAACAGAACAAAACCCAATATCCCTTAGCCCAACAGCCCCAAAGAGCAAGACACTTGGCCACAGCTGCTGGACAAACCCCACAGGAGGAAGCATGTTTATAGCACATGAGCTATACTGTACTTAGTTAAAATTTAGTAGCTACTTGCACATCAAAGTGAGGAACAGTCTATGTGAGGCAGGATGGAAATCCCCCTTGGGCAGCAGCACAAGTGTGGTGTGAAACACACAAGTTTTCCCCTTTCCTGAGAATTCAGCTTCTCAGCAGTGGGGCTTGCCTTACCACCTCTCCCACAGGGCAGACCTGCAGTTCAGTGCAAGAGAACAGAAGAGACGGGGCCAGCAGAGGCAGCAAGCTTGAGTCCCATAGGCAGAAAAAAAAAAAAAATCTGCTGAAAAAAACCCCGTTTTGCAATCAGAGGCAGAAAAGCAGGTGATGGAGGGAAGAAATCAGACAAGCTGGAATTTGGAAAGATTTATCTCAAATTCATTGCCTAAAGGCCAAAAGGGTGATCACACCTACCCACAAGTGCTAGCCTAAATAGAGTTGAGCTCCAGCAGTCTGACCATTCATACATTCAGAAATGCCCAGCTTCTGTGTTTGGCACAAACATTTAATAGTAGAATTCAAAACTCAGTGTGTTCCATTTTAGTCTTAAGTGGAAAATTAGTGCAGGTGGTAATCTAATTGTACAACAACATGTTAAAAAAGTTTATTTTACATTATATACATTAGGGAACATATTTCAAAGCATTACCAATCACAACAATAATGCAGGCCATAAATCACTTTAAATTTAGTTTGGTTTTTAGTGTATATTATCACAATAAAATATAAAGAACATATACAAAAAAAGGAGTCAAATGTGTGCATTTTGCTAAAACTTGGCATTTACATACTCCATTGGAAAGTCGCAATCAAAAATACTTCTGATCAAAACCAAGTTCCTGTGATGCGTAGTAACCATTGTATTGTTTGAATGAGGTAGTAACTAAATTATTTTGGCCATGTGTTAACATCATAAATCAAGAAAAGTGTGAAAATGGTTATAAGGCCAAAAAAAAGTCAAAATGGCAACATCTTTGAGCCACTTCCACAATGTGGAACGTCGCTCCTTTTCATTGTGATGTGAAACTATTTAGTAAGACAAACAGTAATACTAATTTTTATCATTGTATACACTAATAATTCAAACACCTATTGCAGTGTTAAAGCCAGGTACCACTAGTCTGGGACTGACACCCATCCAGAAAGTATTGTTTTCAAGCATAGAGAAGTAATCATAAGGAGAGTTTTAATTAAATATAAAAATACAGGTATTTAACTGGTTTGTTTCACAAAGAAAAACTACCCAAGTAAACTAAAAAAAAAAAAGGAACTTTGAAGCCCAAGTCATATCCACAAAGTCACAGCTTACCTTTGTGACTAAATACATCACATCTCAGTACATTGTGCAAACATGAACACCAGTGTGTTGCATCAAAATTAAAACAAGATTGTAATCTGATTACAGCCTTGGTTACAATTTCTAAAAGTTAAGATTTATTTGTATTAGTAAATTACATATAATAAAATACAATAGTGTTGTTAAATGTACTATATTTGTTGCTAGCATCCCGCTTTATAATAAACACACGAGAAGTCCTCAAAATAGTACCCCAATTTCATTTTTGCATCCTCAATGACTTTTACATCTGTACAGGTAAAACACTTGTACTTAACAAGAGGACTGCTATCTACATAAAGTCAGTGTAGGTCTTCAGCAAGAAGTTTCACTGAAAAATACTGCATATGTACAAAGATTACATAACAGTAAATTAAGCACTTCTGTGGTATCATAATGCTTATGTGTCCATACCACAAACAATTCTCATCTTCCTCTTACGCCACAATAAATTATAAAGTAACTGAAGTTGGGTTACTGCAGCTTTTGTGCAATTTCAGCCAGCCATGAAGTGCAGGAGTGTTCTCTTGTCATGGTGAGCTGCCTGCCGTCCACTGTTCTCAGTAACTGTTCTCATGCCCTGCCAGGATATACAAATTGCTGTTGGCTGTTGGGTTATCTGTCGGCCTACTCTCCAGCACCACAACCCTAAAAAGAAAATGAAAAAGCCACAATGTCAAGTAAGCCTTTGTGGAAAAACATCCCTGGATATAACTGTAAATATTCTTTTCCAGGATCCATCTGACCATTGACCATTTCTCTTTCGCTGAATGCCTCACGTCCAAAAGCAGCTCAAAGCAAGGTCAACCTCAAAGCTAGCTCAGAGCCTTGTCCAGGCAAGGTCTCCAAGGATCTCCCACAGCCTGTCTGGGTTCCTACTGCAGTGTTCAACCACCCTCGTCATTATGTTTTCCCCTCTTTTATTCAGCTGGAAATTCTCTTGCTACAATGTATGCCTGTTGCCTCTTGTCCTTCTAAGCGGGGGCTTCTGAAGAGGGCTACTACATGGGCTTGTGCTTCCCTGGAGCTTTGCAAAGCTAACCCATTAATCAGATGCCAGTTCTGGAAGTCATTACTCTGCCCTTTGCCATGAGACATGACAGATGACCACAGCTGACTCTTCTGTGAGCATTTCCAGTCTTTCCCTGAGCCTAAATCCACAGAAACTTCCTCCAGCTCTGGAAGTCCCAGAGGCAAAGGCTTGCAGGCTGAAGGAGTCCTCAAGGAAAGGACTGCTACGTGCAGAATCTTCTCTCACTATTTTCTTGCCACCTACCTTTGGCCAGCATTGGAGACAAGAGACCGGGTTAGCAGGACCTATACTACAAATGCAAAGACCATAAGGCATGTCCTAGATCAGACCTTTCTCTTCAAAGGAGAGACATTAGCAGTCACAATTACGTTTCACAAACTATTTGAGATTTTTTGATCAGACAAAAACTGCTAAAACTGCTAAGTGGACCAGGATGTTAATGATTGAATTCTCCTCCACAAACACCCTGAAGTGAAAATAGATTGTGGGAAATTCAAATCCATCTATTGTTCATTCACCTAAGGAGAGGTTGCTTGCTTCAAAACTATTGCTCAGAAAACCTACCCTCTGCTCAATGTGCTCCACAAAGGGAATGACATCTCTTGGCATGAGGCATTCCCTGCTGACCAGGAGAAAGCAACATGCAAGCTCTTATCAGACCGATGCCAGTTTTTTGGCTTCTCAGAACCCCAGTTCCTATGAACTGCCTAGGAAATGACATGTGTTACTGGAAAAAGATTTCACAGCTCAAGCACAAAATATGACAGAGCTGCAAGCAAAATGGTATCTGAAGAAATTGGAATTAATGTTTATTGCAGTGCAAAGTCTTTAAACATTGTCTCAGACTTAGGAGACTACTAGTGCAAGCCAGAAATAGATGGAACTGTATTTGGGGAAGAGGACATTATTTTTCCAAGGCAATGATTTGCAATGTCATGCTCCATTGTCAAGTCAGACTAATTTTTAAATTGAGCTGTGCTGTCTCTCAACAACTAAGAGAAATGACATAACAAAGCTGAGCTCCACATACACCTCACTGGAACA